GGCCACCTCGTCCCCCAGTGAAGGTACTATATTTGTCTTTAATATGTATTGAAAAATTGTTAGTTGAATTTAATTTTTTAGTTTTATCAACAAATGTTCAAAGATATATAACCATTACAAGCAAAGTCGTATAAAACTGTGATAGTACATAATATTGTATTTAATGTTACATTGGTACGAGTAAATTCCATAATCCTACCACCGAATTCTAAGCCTCATGAACATTTCGAAGAATTTTCTTTCCAAAAAGGATCTAAAAAAAAAAAAATACATCGCTGAAAAACATATAGTTTTCGTTGAAAATCTAGAAACGTGGCAGGTAACACTTTTTTTTAACGATCGTATTTATGAAATATTATGAAACCGTTGAACAAGTCACGTGTTGTGTATTGAATACTTTCCATTGCAATCCTCCTAAGTGCTTTTATGTGAACAGACGTTAGACGAACGACGCTGCTGATGAAAGAAGGGGGAAATCTGTGTTTTTCATTTTGAGATTATTCAAAAGCCAGTACATTATAATGAAGGGTTAGGGTCGTTCTCATTTTTATTCGTGAAATGTACGTTAATTGATGTGGTATAAAATACAAAATAAAAGTCATTTGTTAAATTTTAGACATCGTTTTAAAATACGCATTCATATTATTATATTTGAACTGCGCTGGATTGAATTAAAGTCTGTCACAACTCATACACAGTATTTTCTTTTATGCGCATTCACCATTTGTCTTCAATAATTAATCACCGTTTCGTAAAATAGTAAAACATATATGATGTATGTATTTTTTGTTATAGTAACGAAACAAATTTTGGATTTGTTAAAAGTATAGCAATAAATCAATGGATTTATTAGACATTAAACGACACACATATAAACATTATTTTAACAATTATAATGCTGCAGGTATCAATTGCTATAAATCAGAAATGCAATTTAATTATGATTAAAATCTTTCGAATCAACAATATTTTGAACTACCGAAGTAAAATAGTTACGAAATAATTTTTCTGGCATGATTCCTGTCAGCATTTATCAGATACCTATATCTACGAATATATATTGATTCTTAATAAAATATGCTTTTGTTAATTTATTTAGTTTTGATAAGCATAGTATTTAATGATTTTCATCGAAGGAAAATATTGAATTTTAACATAGTAGGTATCCAATTGTTTGTTCAGAAAGAAAAAGTCATCATATATTTTATTCAGAAATAAAATATACCTAATATTGTCCAAAGTACCTAATATATTTTTATTTTCTTACAGTTTTAATCATAACCTGGTTAAGGAAATGTGTTATAATATATTCTGTAATATTATATATACCTGCACAATTTGTTCCTATGTATTAAATAAAAGTACCTACATTTTGTTCACCTATTTAAATAAATGTTTAGTAAGATTATTGTCCATAATTTAATTTACTTGAGTTTCAAAAATAAATGGGTACTTACTTACTGAATAAATTACCATAGCCCAATATAATATAAATGGCCAAAAAATCAAAAGCTGTTAATAAATAATTTAGTGATTATAAGTACCGATATACATGTAATATTTTGGTCATCGTAAATTATTTATTTTATAGTATGATGACGCTTCGATACAATAGATATTGATACTATAATATTATTATATTATTTAGATTATAGATTTAATTTACTTAAAACACGACGAATTTTATTCCATTCCGCTGGGTTGTCCGCCACACGAACCAAAAACTCCAAAAGATCATCATCCACCATGGGCGCGGGTAACTGTGAACAAAATAAAATAATATACATTTGATACAGGGAAATTTATCGAATATTTTTAACCTATGATTAAGTAACCCCCCTCCCCCCCTGAAAAGCACTGAATAAAAGAAATATACACATTATGGAAATATCTTAACAAGATGACAATAAGGAACCTAAAGATGATTTTTTGCATTTATTACCCGTATGGCGGGATCCTTTTCAAGTAAGGTTATAAATAGTATTTTCATACGATAAATAGAAATCTGTAACCTTAAAAATATAGTTGACGAGTCCATTGGTCAAATTTTTATTGATAAACGATTTTTTTACGGAATTTTAAGTATTTCGATTTGACGCTTATTGCAAAAGTAAAAGTCAAATACAATTTTATTATTGATCACTGCTCACACAATGCAATGCGATTTAATATTTGTATTTTCAATACACTTTGTATTGTATTTTCATTTTTTAAAATGGGTTTCACGAAAATATAAACCGATATCAAATACCGAAAGTAATAATTTGTTTACTAGAAAGACAAAATTACATTAGGCAGCTTTTACTTATGTTGATGTGTCTTGGTCAGTATTTATACTTAAATTTTGTTCTATTATATTTATTTGATAACATTTATTAAAGTTTAACGAAGAACGTCAAAGTATTTTCATTTATTATGCATAATGGTTTTTGGCATTTTTGGTGAAACAATTGTATTATTTTAGTTATTGATTATGATTTTAAATTAAATTTAGTGATTTAAATGAATTATATAACTAGAAAGGGTAATTCAATTTTGTATTTTGAATGATCACAACTACGTAAATATTATGTTGTTTATCTGGTCAAACGAAAATATGTATTTAAATATGTGTAGACCAATATTATAAAAATATTATAATTTATTAATCATATTGAGTATAACGTTAATTGTGGAATTGGAGAAATGAATATGAAAACATATACATTTATTTTCATATTAGTTTATATTTTATGATTAGGTAATAACTTACTGTAATTTACCATATTTATATTATGCTATCATGCATCTCAGTGAATTTTAAACAAACATTACAATATTAAATAAATTGTATCAATTTATCTGATTAGTATCAATACAATGTAATATGTGGTATTATATAAATTATTATACATCTACTTGTGTCCATAGTAAGTCTAGTTGACAATATTTATTATGAGTAATCCCAGTGAGATGAATTCTGATTAAAAATGTTTAAAAGGAACGCGAGAGTCGTAAAAATAACATAAATAATAATAAAAATAATAGTAAAAAAAAAAATAAAAAATAAATAACCGCTTAAAATAAACAGTCGTTTTATATCACGTATCATAAATTTGTCGACCAGGTGAAATAGTCCCAAGAGCCCAAAAAATATGAAGAGGGTATTATTTATATATCCTCCCTATCATCTCGACCGAAGAGTTATCGTGCCGGTTTAGCTATATTATTTGCACAGATGTCTAAATAAATAGTTTCGGGGTACTTAAAAAAAAATCAGTTTTAGCTGAAAGTTTACCAACGGCATATTATACTATTTTTTGGTTTTGAAAAGAAAAATGGTATTTTTTACAACCGTATATATAACATAGCATTATGTTTGCCCAAAAACGTTATCTGAAATCGAGACAATCTTAACAATAGAAATTGTTCAATATTTTTTCCATATTTTAATCTTTTTTTCTTTTCATAATATTGAAACTACCGTGGGGCAGAGAGGGAAGAGTTATTCGCACGAGTTATGCCCATCTCCCTCCACCAGATCACAATTTAATTTATAATTATTGATCATCGTCTATAGAATATTATATTTAGGTAGGACAATGCACATAATAATTCTCTATTATACTCGTATTGTCTCTTGGCAAAACGTAATGGTTCTAAAATGATGAATGTGCCTACAATTTTTTCCGACATTTTAGAAATAATATTATATTGTTAGAGCTTAAACTTATATTGTTGGCAATAGTTGGATATTTAAAAAATAAAATTTAAAGTACCTACCTAGCTTATAATACTATAATGTTATAACTCACTTTTTTATAAGTCTTCGAGGTTTGCTGTCGGTCGGAATTCAATTCATTGGAATCTGAAACAAAAACAAGCTTTAGTACAAACACAACATATACTTATGTACTGAAATAATTTACATTTTATTTATTAATACACAGCTATTATAATGTAATAATATTACTATACGATTTCAGATTTTGTTGCATCCAAAATATGCATTATAAATGTGAAAATGTCACATGAATAGGTAGCCTGAAACGTGAACAATATTATACAATAACACCTAAAAATGTGCAAAACATTTATGAATGAAATTTTTGAAATTATAAACCATTCATAATGTTTATGCTAAATGATTTTCATTAAAATTAAACAGTCTCCGTCAGCCATACTCAAGAATCAACATAATATTATAATAGGTATATTTAAAGTTGTCCGTGTACCGAGAACCTTAAAACGTATAATGGCCACATTATATTATATATTTGTATTTAGTGAAATTTCCGATGTTAGTTCCGGAAAATATAAAGTGTGGGTCGTTTGGTGATACGGCACACGTGATACGAGTGCCGACTGTGAATGAAGTTTTAACTCCAAGTTATGATGTGGATTAAATTAATATCTTTATTTCTATGTAAATGAATGTAAATATATATACAATGATTTGGTTAGTAGGGTTCGGGCTCCACACAATAACAGCCTATATAATGATTCAGGGGTGGGATCGAGTCTTACACATCTTAAGCAAGTGGCGTTCGCTCGTGAGACTCGACCGGTAGAGCGTGGGTAGGCGAGCTGGGGAATCGTGTCTTACGTGTTTGATCGGTAGTCCAATGCCTCGTGCTCACGGGCAATAATTTATTGTGGATCTGGTCTTGTCCGTGGGTGTACGCGAGTTGCCTGTTGATGGTCTGGTCCCTCCGAATTTGGCCACTCACAGCTGGATTACTGTTCGTGGTCGTTGGTATATCGGCGGTCTCCGGGAACGGTTATTGGACCGTACGATGCTTGCTCACCGTGGAGTGGTGATATTGTATCGTCTTCTTTGGTGGTCCGGAGTCTTCTTGTCTGGTTCTTGGCTTGATAACTGTAAGTGTTGAGACGTTGAAGGTTTTGGAAGAAGTGACTATGGTTAACTGGTTGCTTGACGTCCTTTCCTGGTTTTGGAATCATGATAATTGTGGCGTGTCTCCATTTCTGTGGGAAGTATTCCAGTCTAGTGCAGGCGTTCAGTATGTTACATAGTTGTAATAATACTTTCCTATCATAGTGTTTGAGACTGCCGTTAGTTGATCAGGGCCTGGTGGTTTTTGACTTGGTAGCTTCTTTATGGTGTACTGAATTTCGCCAGGAGAGAAGAAAATGCTCTTGGTGTAATGTAATTTAAAATGATCTTCAATGGCATTCTTGACTAATTCGTCAGTCCGAGTCGTGTGGTCTGGTGTTTGGAATTGTTTTTCCATTGAATCAGCGAATATTTCCGATTTGGTGACTGCATCATAGTGTAGAATGTTTTGATTGTCTGAAAGTGAATGTACAGCTGGTCGTTTGTGCATGAGTTTTTTGTTTAGTTTATAGATCTTTGTCCAGCCTTCACTTGTGGGGTCGATATTGCTCAGAAAATTGACCCATTCGTTGTCTCTGTGTGAGTGCATTAGGTCATGAACTAGGGCTTTTTGTCTGTTGAGTAGCGCTTCACATCTGGATTTCTTGTATGTTGCCAGTTTTTTCTCACTTTACGTTTTTTGTGGATTGCGTTTAGGATGTTGATGGGCAGGTTGCGGGTTTGATCTTTTGGTTTGATAACATGGGTGTTACTGCTAACGAGGGCAGCTATTTTTGTTGTGAGTTCAGTGATGGCTTGGTCAACGTGTTCTGGAGTTTGCATTTTCTTGAGAGCAAAGCTTATTTTTTTAGTATCGAGATTGAATTTGGTCCAATCTGTATGTTTAAAGCTTTGGGTGTCATTGATATGTATCAGTAAATATACTCCCAGGATAATCTATATCGGTACTGATTGGTCGAGGTTTCTATTATGACGGATAACAACCACACAGTTGTTTGTTCGTTGCCACGTACACCTCATCGGTGTGTTTTTTATTCGTCATAACGTTGAAATGTATTTGTATAAATTATACTTTTTTCAATGTGTCCTCTTTATTACATGTGTGCTAATTACTCGTCATACTAGATATTTTGTTGGTCTTGAGAAAGACCTTTTTAGTATTTGTTCCGTAACACTGGTTGGTCGGTCACTGTATTATTTTACATGAATAAACGTTTCAGTCGAAAAAACGACATAGTATGGCACTGCGGTACGTTTTACCAGCGGACTACAAATAAATTAATATTCTTCCTAATATTTGTAATAAATCTAATATTGTAAATAGGTACTAACTACTAAGCAGTCCACTGTTAAATGTACCTAAATTAGTATTAGTATACATTATTATTGTTAAATAATTTATTTATTTATTCGTAGATACGTATTGAAATTTTAATTATATAGTTCGATTTTCATTTATGGTACATAATACGAATTAGTAATACCATTGGTACGCGAAAAAATAAATTTGAAAATAATGTAGGTACTTAACGTCGCGTTATTATTACTCTCCGTCGTACTTGTTTCGGTTGGTAATTAATCGCAACGCGTTTTTATTTGAAATCGGAGTGCATGAAAATATAATGCGTTGTAAGACAGTGTACCTACCGTATAAGTTAAGTTATAATAATAATATGTACTATGTAGGTTACGTCATATTATAGTGCACTTAGCGTTGATGGAAAAATATACGAGTGGAGTGTTCAACTAACTAATTTAGTGGTGGTGAGAAGGTAATTTTTAGAGGCACAAGAGTACATGACTCAAGAATTAGTAGGGTGTTTGGATAGGTAGATGACTGCGAAGGTGAAAGTCTATAGTAAAATGTTCATTATTAATAATTAATGTACCTACATATTATACAATACCATTACCTATATTTTCCATTTTTTGAGTCTGGTCATTAGGTAGGTGTCAAAAAAAATGACTGACCTATTTTATTGGCCCTGGGTCACACGGCATTTTATACCATTTCTATAGGGAAGCTCAGACTGAGTCACACTACATACATAATTTATACTTCAAGAAAACTATTGATATGCTCACGAATAATTCCTATATCGTGGCAATACGAACACGAACATAATTCGTACCATAATTATTATTGTATGTCATCACTAAACTCCTTTATTACAAATAATATTTTTACTTTTAATTTTCTATTTTAAGTATTATTTAATAACCAATATAGACTGATTGAAGTCTTTTTGATAGATAGGCACCCGAAAAATTAAAAAGTGTTTAAATTTATTGGTAATTGATTGTGCTTGTTGTTTAATAACAATCCTATTTCGTTTGATATCTAAGAGCTTAATTAATATATCCATTCTTAGTTTTATTGATTTACATACTGGATACCAACGATTTAGACATACCTACATTTTTTTATATGTGTATTGAAAATGATTTTACTCAACTATTTTGTCAAGAAATATTTAAGATAGATAATATTTTATGTAGGTATCTTTTTATAACTTATTCTATGCATAAAATACATTTTTAAGCAAAATAACAAGAAAATTAACATAAATTTGTTTTTTGATTGGGCGCCTCTAAAAATGTTGGTGACTTCGGCGCCCTAACACACTGCACTCCCTCTTGTGACTGATACAGCCTCGCGTATGGGTCTTCAAATACTTCGATGAGAAATATATCTGATGGTAGAAAGCGAAAAAGGCTATATATTATGCCATACTAGGAACGGCCACTAGCCCCCCAAAAATATTATTTTTCCAATTCTTTTTTATAATTCTATAGATCCTTCTATTACTATATCCCAGTCACAGATATGTTTGATAATATAATATATTATTATACATATCTATGGACTGTGAATTCAATATTGTATAAATAATTAACTATAATTATTAATTAGTTAAGAATAAAGTGTATTTTGTAATTGGATCTGTGTTGTAAAAAAATGGTTGCCAGCCTCCCACCACAGATCTTTAATCTGAATCTATGCCTGTGCCATACATATTTATTATGATATATATTATACTACGGTCTAAGCAGAAAGATAGACAATAATTATTGCAGTTTATGTGATTTTTGTTGCGTCTTTGTTTTACTGGTGCTGCTTTTTTTTTTTGTACATCTATGAACGAATTTTAAGTGGCAACATAATATTACTGTTTAAACTACTCCCCAGACGATTCGAATCGGCATCGGTTATCTTATAGATGGTACGCTTTATTTAAAACGCTTTTTTAATTTTTCTTAATACCACAAAGTACAGTTGTACAGTTGTGTAGTCGTTGACTTTAACATAATTATAATAATAATGGCAGTTAGAAATTTAGTTTTATCACCATCGTCTGCAGTGTTAAATCCAAATGACAACGATTTAAATGCTTATAAAAATAGTCACGGAATTTATGTTTTCAAACAACACAGTGACGATCGACGAGAATAATACGAACGCGATAATAAAGCAGCTATAAAATGATCGTTTTCCCTGCAGTGTAGGTATAATATATCAGTTGGATTTTTTTTAATTTCTAGTCTTGGTGACAAGCTATAATATTGTATAATAATATAGCTAATACATCATCATAATATTATACCCGACGATGTTCTTTTCGCTCACATTAAATCGACTAGAAAAATAAGAAATCCGTCGTCTATATTATGTATAATAATATATGGCTATTGCATTTGGCCGGCAGTCGATTGTATCTATATTGTATTTATTGACGACGGCAAATAACGCGTCTCCATGATATGTACCTCGATACACGTATAGTCAGTTTAATATAGTTGATTGAAAATCGTTTTACTCGAGATAATCATATTATATTAGGTAGTATAGTGTATTATAATATGATCGCCTGTCTTATTATATTATATACGCGGAGATCGTGTACAGACAATATTTTAAAATGCCACGCCGACGTAGAACACTACACACAATATAATACGAATTTCCGTATACTGTATTATTTTTATTATTATTATAATATGCATATTCGACTTTATCGTTTATATTGTTTTCCGTTACCGACGCATTATGATATAAAATATATACGAGCGGGTCGCATGCGTATTGCATTTGGACGGTGGCGGCGGGGCATATAATATGTCTACACACACGCAGAAAGGGTTTTTGTTCAATGTCTTTTTCGAATATACGATGAGCCTGCAGTATAGAATATTATACGCTCAGAGCTATAAATCTATCGCATATTCGCAGATACCGATGCCGTATTATATATAAATGGGGCATTCACCCCTCAATATTCTAGAGTTATTTAGTGACGTTCTGAGTATATGCATCCTGCTTTAGAATTTTTATTTTTATATTTTCCTCAACCAGAATTTCCGTCTCGTCGGTTCTATCAAAATACTATATATACCTGTATATATTATACTGCATTAAGTTTTGTATACACACGGAATCATAAAAATAATATTATGCGACTCACTGCTGTATATATATAGCGTTCAAGCATCTCCCGTTACAGGGTGATTCTTTTGAAGGTAAGCACACTCGTGTTCTTGAAAAGTTTCAATGTTTTCGAAAGTATACTTTTAGATAAGCAGTATGAAGTTATTAAAAATAAAAATTTTTTTTACTAAAACGCCTTAATGTTCGTTTTAGACAAAATTAGATAACATTCAAAACTAATGAAGTATTTTTTTTGGTACATTTATTATTCAACTACCTTCATATATTTTCATGTATTATATATTAAGATAAAATATATTATTTGATTATTTCAGGTATCGTAAACTGATAATACCAAGACCGCTCTTCAGATTTCCAATTTGTAGCCTGAATACTGTTCAAATTAGGTAAGTACACAAAATCTATGTGCACAATATTGTCAATATTATCAATGAAGTGTGTCCATTGAACGAATTAACTGGGGAATGAGAATTTTTTAAACACTTACATTTATATAAAAAAATGTTATGTATTAATAATTTATTATTACTTTTACTCGGTTATAAATTATAATTTATAACAGTTTAAATCGGGGACTGGAACTTTGATGATTTTACGGTTCTGGTTCAGTTCGTTTCCCAGATAAAGTACCGGTTCCGGTTTTTAAATAAATTTGAATAAGGGTTTCGGTGAGGGTTCGGTTTCCAATACTCAAAGGGTTTTGGTTCCAAAACCAGTTCTTTTCGGTAAGGTTCCAGTCCCTGGTTTAAATATCGTAAAAATTCTGGCAAGGCATTAAATTAATCCTATGTTACAGGGCTTGAAATCGATATTGGATACCGATTTGAATACCGGTTAAAACCATTAAAAATACCTAAACAAAAAATAAAATCAAAAAAATAAACACCGATAACCGAAAACGAAATCAAAATCAGAAAATAATATTGTCGCTTTGAAGCCCTGCATTTGTTAGTAATTTACGTACCCAATAGGTTATGGCAAATGTATTTTGAATGGATTGACTGGATAACAAGAAAAGTGAAAAGAGATTTTCCCATCATTTTTATATATTGTGTTTTAGAATTTAGACGGAGATATTAACAGATCTTATGTGCGGTATAGGTACGTTATCCCGAAATACGAGTAGGGTTTGTATAATATTATGCCCGACAATTGGAGACGTATTTTAAATCGCATTATTCGCATATTTAGTCGATATTTTCTGCCGAGATTCCTTTACAACCAAGTATCAAAATGTAAAAACGACTTACACTTATACTTATAAAATGTACAATATTTCTCAGTGAGTATTAATCGGGCTTCTTCGTTCACGACAATTTAAAGTTCACGTTTTTATGAACCGATGTTTCCCGTTATAGTTGTAGGTACTTGCATA